GCGTACAGCAATATAAATTGAAATTCTGTTGCTTTAAATTTATTAATTTCTGAAAGGGATCTTGTTGTTCGTTGAAATTCAGATGGTATCTGTCTTTGAATATGGACTAATAAATTAGAAAGTTGCATCTTTGTGTTATTACTTAAGCGGACATTTTTTAAATTACTGTTCAACCAATAATCAAATAATTTCTTCATCACACCCAAATAAACCAAATGCATAGAATCTAACGGAAATTGTTGTACCATATCAATTGGTGGTTCAATATCAAGTAGAGGAGATATATCATTGTGATGTTCCGCATTACTTTGAGCTCGAAAAGACATATCGGTTCGTAGCTCTACATCTGTTATTGGATAAATAACACGATTACTTTTTCTTATTCCTTTGACAGTACATCTTTCACAAGCCCAGTAACCACCGTGACCAATTATACATTTTAAAAAAGCACGTGCAGGTCTATCACAAATAAATGTCTTTATCGATACATAAAATTGCTGATTATTTATAATAATTCCAATCTGTTGCAAATGATTAATTTCATTAATGAATTTTTCCAAATATTTAAATACGTTTCTAGGTTTGTTATTCCCACAATAAATTGCTATTGGAAAAGGTTTATATATGTCAGGATTGTGAAATATTTTGCACAAAATAGGCCATAATTGCTTCGAACTTGATTTAAAAAGAGGTAATCCATCTGCATTGATAAGCAATTCTATTTTGTGTCCTTTGTGTAAATTCAAATTAATATATCTTTGAAGATTGTGATAAATGCCAAAATAAACAAATTCATGATCGTTAACTTCATCAATTTTTTCAATAGTATACTCTGTACTAGTAGTATTTAGAAATGTTTTTGCACTTTTAGGTAAGTTGGGATAATCTCTTCTTAGAATATTTAATAATGACTCAAGTCGGGTATGAGGTATCGGTGGATCAAGTAAAGCCTATTGACGAATTGCTTCAACAGTATCGAATTCTTCGTTACATTCATTGTCATCTGTTATGTCTTCGTTATCCGACTCATTATTTTCTGAATGTTCTTCAGTTATTATTTCACATATTGACGTATTACTTTCTGATAATTCGTCACTACTTGATTCACTAATTGATTCTAATACTTCTTGTATTCTTAAATCTGTTTCTGCTTCTTCTGAAACATTTGTGACATATTCACCTGATATATTAAATTCTTCACCACTGTCTGGTGTATAATCAGACTCTGTTACATGTGTATCTGCAGCAAATTGTTCGTGTGAAGTACTTGGCTATTCGTGTGAAGTACTTGCAATTACTCTTGTTATTTCTTTTCGTTGATTATCTCGAAATTTTTTAACTCGTAAACGTGTAAGCTCACGAGTTCTCTTTAATTTATTTTTGTTATCAGACATATTCAATTTAATCACTAGAATTATTTATCGCTAGAGTTTGTTATATTTTAATTAATATGATTTGTATTAGCACAAAATCACGAGAGTACGTATATTGTAACTGTTATGGCACTAAATAACCTATATGTTTAACCTATACGTTTAACCTAACAAACCTATTTTTGAAAAAGACATATAAATATATATTCAGATCGGAAGAGCACACGTCTGAACT